CCCCCTCTAGATCCGCCACTGTGTACATACACAGTCCACTGTGATACCAGTACAGTGGACCAGTTTATAACCCATCTTTCTATAGAACGACTGATGTAATCGCAATGTAACAGAACTTCTGACCACAACGACTCTGAGACAGAACCCTACGTGCCCAGAGTTCCCGGGAGAGCGCCATCACTGTAACCACATGGGCGTGACCTGGGCGTACATGCATGATTTTGCGGTTTACCACAGATACCACCATACATGTCACGCTCAGCTTTAAAAAACAAATGGTTAAACAATATTCACCTGAAACAATGAATCATTGGTCATATGATCTAGTCAAGTAGTTTAGATAGTGACAATGAAAACAATAAGGCTCCGTATATTTTGCCAAAAAAACAAAAACAAAAAAAACAAACAAAAAACGATATGGCAGCACTAATTTTCCCCGCGGTATTTTTGTGTACCACGTTTTCAGATGGTCCGTTTTTATATACTGGCACTGAAAACTTTCGCTCCATAAATAACCTATCTAGAGCAATTGCAATATGTAAACGTACAGATAAGTAGAAATGTTATCGTTTAAATTCATCATTTTAATACTATTGCATTCACTGCGATTGAATGATAAACAAGACGATCCTGCGTCACTGAAGAATGACTTGCACAACACGTGGCTAGGTCATCTGCCTCGCAGCACTTAGAAGACATCCCGTCTGTATTCTAACTTCAGGTTTGATGGATTGCATACCAGCTCCTGTATACTGCCCTCCGGTTTGATAGATTGCATATCAGCTCATGTATACTGCCCTCAACGGTATTTGAAGGAAATTGTACAAGAGTGGAAATTGAATCACTGGGCAAGTAAGAAACATTTCAAAAAAATGCCAATGATGTAAAAATCAACATTTTTTGGAACAATTGTCATAGGAAGCCAAGTTAAAGCATCATTTCATAAAAAAAATCAATTAATGTGCCAATCCACAATTTTTTTTCACTGTTAATCCTCAAAAAACACCATTTTTATGGACGTTTGACCCGTACCGTGTTTGGTGACATATTTTTACCTGGTTGATTTTTTAAAATGAAGGAAATCCACACATGCGTTAATGTTGGTCAACTACATTGGTCCTTTCAAATTTGTAATTCGGAAACTGACAATTGTTTTTCCCTTTTTAAGCATTAACTGAAAATGTAGTAATTTAACAAGACAGAAACCAATCCTGCAAATATACGAGTCTGTGAAAATAGTTTACTGCAAGTGACACAAGTAGTGGATGATACCAATGTACTATGCATGAAACCATAGGTCAAGTCTATATTTTACTCAAGTATTCCTGCTAACATTAGATTATTTCCATAGATTCTTTGGTAGTTTCCAGTACTCAGGCTAGGCCCACCCATAACAGGACAGAAACACCCCCACACCATCCGATTTATTTACATGCTGTGTTCATTTATCCCATTCACTGTTGATATGCTAATTTGTTCATTGCCCTTTTTCATTCCAGTATTTTACTAATGGTTTTTGATCACCATAGCAGCAAGCCATTTCTGCGAGCGTGTTAAACAGCATACAACTCTTACCCAAGTGAAGTCAATACATGCAAGCCAATGTTAGTAGTAGAACTTAGATTAGACTAACATACAAATCACCGTAGTATTTGGTAGGAATGATGAATTTAAAAACTGCAGCCTCCCGTTTTGTCTGGAGCAGGATTTAAATCTGGCAAAAAAAAACTATTTGTGTTGACTTATC